TTCTTGAGTGTATTTTTAGAAATTTTTTTCATTCTTGAGTATACAGATGGGGGGACCCTCACTACAGACCTGGATTTCCCTGCTGTGTCTGTCCAGCACATTCTGCTACAGTAAGGGGCCCTCGTAGGTGGGCAGTCAGTACCTCCATGTGTGGAATCAGCATCTTGTGTGCTTGTGGGCTGTTGCTTTGGTTTTCTTTTTAATTTCACGACAGGGCACAGTCTTAATAAGAGGAAAGACAGAAATAGGTGAAAAGTATAAGCAGGTGTTAAGTAGATGTACGAGTAGATGTTAAACTCAGATTTATTTAGGCTTTTTCTTTTTTTAAAAATTGATGTATTGTTATTCTTTTTAATTTAGGGTGAGGTAATTAGATTTTTATTTATTTATTTGAATGGAGGTATTGGGGATTGAACCCAGGACCTTGTGCATGCTAAGCACACACTCTACCACTGAGCTCTGCCCCCCCCCGGGCCTTTTCTTTGGTGGTGTACACTTATGCATATTGTTAGTAATTTCTGTAGAATGAGATCTGGGGAAAATTGTCTTTTTTTTTAAAAGTTCAATACTTAAAAAGGTTACTATCTTTGTTTTTCCTGACAAGATGGCCCTTTTGAGACTTCTACATGGCTGATTTCACTGTAAAAATGTTTTTTATAACTACCATGATGAAAGAAGTCTGTTTGTTTTATTTTCCTGAAAAAAAATCTTCAGGGATTTTCTCAGAACCTGGAGTACAGTTGTGCATGGATGTGTACGTTTGTCTTGGTGGAGAGTGTTTGTTTTGGTGTTTCCCTTGATTACCAGTGAGCTTGTTCTCAGCTATGTTACATTTCATAAGTCTGGTTTCCCCTTGAGGGGTCATCTAATCCTTTCTCCCCTTTTATAATAAACTCCTTTACTTTTAAAATCTGGCACTTTGTCTTCCCGCTTAAATAATCTCTTGTTACTTGTATATCATTGCATTAGAATGTTAAGTACCTTTAAACCACTAAATTTTAAAAAAGTCTCCTAGTGTATCTAAAAAAAACCATGTGAATTAATGTGGCTAGAATTCTAGAAAGGAAGGGATTTTAGAAATCATTTTGTTCAGTCAGCCCATTTTCCTGTAGAGGAAACAAGTGGAGTTGTGTTGTCAAGATGATGTTTTCACAGCTCAGAATGTGGAAAGTAGGAAACAGTGGAGAACAGTCAAGAGTATCTTTAACCCCGTTTCTTTCTGTGATAAATAGTGTTCAGAAAGCATACGTTTGGGTCGCTTTGTTATGAACCTTTCATGTGCGTGTTGAGTCAGGAAAGATGATGAAGTTGGAGTAGAATTTTAAAAATTCTGAAGAAAGGCTCCATTATATTAACAAAGTTACATCCCTTTAAATTTTGTAGCACTTTTTTATTGGTGTCTCGGAAATTTGCACACTGTGCTCAAATCAGTTTTGGAGTTGACAAGAGCTTTAGAAATGATCTGGTGCAGCTTTCGGTGGTCTCTTCTCTATCATGGGTCCTGACATCAGGTGACCAGTCCCTCCTGAAAGTCCTTTAATCAGGAACTCCTTCCATTTCGGAGGGCAGCCTTCATTGTCAGAAAGTCCTCGATCTTAGTCCTGCCTCTGATCCCCACAGAGCAAATGCTGGCGCTCTGGGAGCGTGGTGGGTGGTGAAGAACGTGGACTCTGCAGCCAGATGACCAGGATGTGAACCCGGCTCTGCTTTTCACTTGCTGTGTGTGCCCCAGCAGGCGCCTTAATCTCTCTGTGCTTCAGTTTCTTCATTTGTAAAAAGGAGGTAATAGTACCTGTCTCACCAGGTTGCTAGGATTAAACAGATTTTGAAAGTGTTTAGAACAGTAGAATATATACATCATGTGTTTGCTCTTTTATTAACTCAATTCCATATAACCCCCTCTTTTAAATTGAGGTGAAATTCACACAGTAAAATGAACATAGCATTTTAAAAATTTAATAAACTTTATTTTTTAGAACAGTTTTAGGTTCATAGCAAAGGTGAATGGAGAGTACAGGCCCCACGTGTGCACAAGCTCCCCCACTGTTGCTGTCCTGCACCACGGTGGTACGTTTATTACAACTGAGGAACCTACACTGACATGCCATTGTCACTCAGAGTCCACAGTGTAAGGTTCACTCTTAGTGTTGTGCATTGTCTGGTTCTTGACAAATGTGTGATGCCATGTATCCAGCACTGTAGTATCATACAAAATTGTTTCACAGCGCTAAAAACTTTCTGTCCCCTTCTGTCCCTCCCTCCCCTTGAACTCCTCGTGACCACTGATCCTTTTACTGTCTCTGTAGTTTTGCTTTTTCCAGGATGTCATGCAGTTGGAATCGTACAGTATGAAGCTTGTTCAGTTTGGCTTCTTGTGCTTAGTGATGTGTTTATGTTTTCTCCATGTCTTTTCATGGCTTGATAGCTCATTTCTTTTTAGCACTTCTAGTACTTTTTAGCACAAATATTCCATTATTTGGAGGCACCACAGTTTATTTATCCATTCATCCCCTGAAGGACATCTTGGTTACTTCCAGGTTTGGGACAATTACGGATAAACATCCACGTGCAGGTTTTTGTGTGGATGTAAGTTTTCTGTTTATTTGGGTAAGTACCAGGGGGCAGTTTTGCCGGGTCACACAGTAAGCGTATGTTTAACGCTGAAAGGAGCTGCCGAAGTGTTGTCCAGAGTGGCTGCAGCATTTTGCATTCCTTCCAGCAGCGAGTGACAGTTCCTATTGCTCCACATCCTCACCAGCATTTGGTGTTACCCGTGTGTTGGAATCTGGCCGTTCTAATGCGTGTGTAATGGTACCGTTGTTTCCGTCCGCGATTCCCTAGTGGTACGTGATGTCAAACATCTTCTCATTGCCGTCCTTCACCTGTATATCTTCATTGATGAGCTGCATGTTCACACCTTTTGCCCATTGAAAATACTGTATTGGTTGTTTTCTTGTTGTTGAGTTCTTTGTGTGTTTTGGATCAGAGTCCTTTATCAGATGTGTCTTCTGCAGATGTTTTGATTAGTGTTAGTGGTATATCTTTCTCTCTCTACTTTTCGTCTATATGTGTCTTTATATTAAAAGTGGGTTTCTTACAGAAAACGTAGTTGGGTGTTGTTTTTTTTTTATCTACTCTGACCGTCTCTGTCTTTTAGTTGGTATATTTAGACCTTTGATATTTAAAGCAATTATTGATACAGTTGGTTTAGTATCTGTCAGATTTGTTACTATTTTCTGTTCGGTGCCCTTGTGTTTTGTTGTTCTTTATGTCTTCCGTACTTTTTTTTCCCTTTTTGTGGTTTTAATGAGTATTTTATATGATTCCATTTTCTCTCTTTTCTTAGCTTCTCAATTATACTTTTTCTTACTTTTGTCTTAGAGTTTCCACTGTACATTTCCAATTAATCCAAGTCCACTTTCAGATAACACTGTTACTACTTCACGGGTAATGCACGTACCTTATGAAAACAAATGATCCCTGAGTCTTCCCTCCTGTCCCTTGTGTCATTGCTGTCATTGATTCACCTATATACAGACGCGTCCAAGAGCATATATGTGCAAGAGCAGACTTACTGGTTAGACCAATTAAAAGTAAGAAAAAATAAAAATAAGAGAAATATTCTATCTTCACTTACTTATGCTCCAGTGGTCTTGCTTTCTTTATGTAGACCTGAGTTTCTGACATAATTTTCCTTCTTTTAACATTTCTTACTGGCAACAAATTCCCTCAATTTTTGTTTGAGAAAGTCTTTCATTCTTCACTTTCAAAGGCTAATTTTGCAGGATACAGAATTTTTGGTGGTTTTTTTTTTTTTCCTTCTTAACACTTTAAACATTTCATTTTGTTCTCTTCTTGCTTGCATGGATTCTGAGAAGTCAGATGTAATTCTTATATTTGCTTCTTTGTAGGTAAGATATTTTACCCTTTCTGGCTTCTTTCAAGATTTTTTCTAATCTCTGATAGTTGGCAGTTTGAATATGACATGCCTAGGTGTAGTTTTGTTGTTTTTTGCATTTATCCTGGTTGGTGTTCTCTGAGCTTCTCAGATCTGTGGTTTGGTGTCTCACATTAATCTGAGGGAAATTCTTTCGTTACTGCTTCAGATGTTGCTCTGTTCCTTCCTTCTCCTTTGGATATTCCCATTTATGCATATGTTACACCTCCTAGAGTTGAACAAGTTCCCAAAGTTCTTGGGTATTCTGTTTCTGGGTCTTTTGTTTTTGTTTCTCAGTTTTTTTTTTTTTCTTTGCTTTTCAGTTTTGTCATATCCTCAAATTCAAAAAGTGTTTCCTCAGCCTTGTCCAGTCTCCTAATGAGCCCATCGAAGGCATTCTTCATTTCTGTAGCGTTCTTAATCTCTAGCATTTCTTTATTTTTCTTAGAATTTTCATCTGTTTACATTAACCATCTGTCCTTGTATGTTGTTTATTTTTTTCCATTAAAGCACTTACCATATTAATCACAGGGTTTCCCATCTTCCTTCCTGCCTCCCAGATAAGTCCAACTTTCCTGTCATATGTAACTCTGGTTCTGATGCTTGTTCAGTGTCTTAAAAATGTGTTTTTGGTTTTTAGTATGCCTTGTAATCTTTTGTTGAAAGGTGGACGTGGTGTCCTGGGCGGAAGGGTGCCTTTGGTGATGCAGCGGTAGGTGTGGGAGTGGCAGTGTTCTGTGGTCCTGGGATGAGGTCCTGGTCTTTCAGTGAACCTGTGCTCTTGGGCTGTGGACCTCACCAGTGCTTCTTGGGCCCCTCCCATCCTTCAGTGGGACAGGATGGCTGCAGTGGGCTGGAGTTGGTACTTTCCCCTCCCCCAGGTAGATCAGGCTCTGGTAAAACCCCAGTGGGTTAGACTCTGGTTAAAGAGTTAACCTGTTAAGAACAGAATGCTCTGGAGTATTTTCAAATGGTTCCTTCCCCTCTCCCCCTGCTGGAAACACAAGGTGGGGGGGTTTCTCCAGTATTTACGTGAGGACCTGCTAAGGTTCCTGGAGGTAAAATGCACAGAAGTGTGGGAGACCCCGATGACTGGGGTCCCCTGGGGTTTTCAGCCTCAGAGCTGGCCACACGGACCCTCCAGCAATTCGTCAGTGACTCTGGCACTGGCTCCCGGAGGCTTCTGCCCGTGGGTTTCTGCTCTCGTATGTTGTGGTTATCTGTATCACCCTGTCTGTCTCTACCATTTGGGAGGCACCAGTTTGCCCTGTGACCTCACTTCTCTGATGGATCCAAGAAGAGTGGTTGCTATTTCAGTTTGTTCAGCTTTTCACTTGTTAGCATGGAGTGGTTTCTAAGCTCCTTACATGCAAGACGGGAAACCAGAAGTTCTCAACATAGTGTTTTAAGGTGTATAGTTAACTCAGTGGCATTTAGTTATTCACAGTGTTGTACAACCACCACCTCTGGTAGTTCCACAACAGATCATCACCCCAAAAGAAAGCCTCACACCCATTAATCAGTCCCTTGCTACTCCCTCCCCCCCATCCCTGGTAACCACTAATCTGCTTCCTGTCTCTATGGATTTCATTATTCTGAAAATTTCATGTAAGTGGAGTCATACAATATGAGACCTTTTACATATGACTTCTTTCACTTAACATAGTGTTTTTGAGGTTTGTTCCCATTGTAGTGTATATTAGTACTTCCTTTTTATGGCTGAATAATATTCCATCTTATACATAGACCGCATTTTGTTTATCCATTCATCTGCTGATGGACATTTTGGGTGGTTTCCACCTGTTAGCTGTTGTGAATAGTGCTGGCATGAAAATTCATGTATGGGTGTTTGTTTGAGTACCTATTTGCGGTCTTCTGGGTATATACCTAGGAGTGAGACATATGATAATTCTGTGTTTAATTGATTGAGGAACCGCCAGACAGTGGCTGAACCATTTTGCACCCCCAACTCTCCCCTCCCCACCAACTTTCTACATTTCAAAATAAAGCATCCTTTGTTTCTTCAGCTGTTCTTCATGGACATATTTCCAAAATCTCTGCCAGCCTGCCTGGTCTCTTTCTCCGGGTGCTCCGTGGTGTAGATACCGCCTTTCAGACGGGGCAGAGGTTAATAGAGTTCCATTCACAGGAGCGGAGTTGGAGTGGTGTGTGGCCAGTACCCCTTGTCTAAACTTCTCAGACAGACCCCCACGTAGGTGTTGAACCCTAACCCGAGACTGTGAACCACTGTGGGGCTTCACGTCCACCTTCATTATGTTTCTTCTTGCTGCATGGGACCGGCCACTCCATGCTGTCAAGTAGTTTTGAATCCTGACTGCACGTGTCCACCTGTCCATTCAGCTTCATGTCATTATCCAATTCAATGTAAAGACTGAAGAGTGCCAGCCAAGAACGAGCCTTTGACAGGTTACCAGAGATTGGTCCAGGGTTCCCTGGGTTTATTTATCCAATGACCTTTGGGGATGGTCATTGTAAGTCCCCCGACCTTGATTTCCATCCAGTTTCCATCCTGCCGTCTTGTTCTCAGTCCCCAGGAAATGAGGAGAAGCCTTGTCCAATCCGTTTCCGCAGTTCAGTGCACTATTTCTAGGGTTTCAGGCGGGTCGTGGTGAGTAAAGTTTTCACCAGGGCGCTTGGCGCTCCATAAACCGCAGCTCATGTTACTTTTCCAGCTTTCCTCTGACTTTCCTAATAACCCTCTCAAAAGAGGAAACATTTAATACCTTGTGCTTGTGAATAATGTCACCAGCTCTTGGCGATTTTCTTTCCTTCTCTAGAGGCACAAAAACTTACCAAGAATTTTGTCCGTGATCGATGTCAAACTCATTGAAATACAGTTTAAAATGTCCATCATCTTCTTATTTTTGAACCAGGTTATTATATCCTTCACAGATCCCTTAACGATCAACCATGGTGTAGGTTAGCAGTTCCGTCTAAGTTTTCTCAATGTCCTGGGATTTAAAACACCCAGAATAACTTAGGGGAAGTGTATCTTCTTCACGTCTTCCCCAGTCCGGGACATTAATTATCTCATTATTGTATTGGTTCTGCTCTTCCTAATCCAGACCTGCTTCTTGAGAGACTCAGTGGCAAAGTAAGATGGAGATGTTTCATTTTGTGTTTGTCACAAAAGCCTTTACACTTATTTTACAGATGATGTGAGAACGCTATGTAAAAGCAGTTGTCTTGCTCTTGTTAGTATTGTAGGAATGTAAGCAACAAAGGAGCAAAAAGTAGGGGAGCGAGGACAGAATCTTGATTTTTTTCTTCCCCCTGATTAGCTACCAGGGACTTTACTAGACAGCTCTAGTCAACTTATGACAGTACTTCGGGTACCAGCTGCTTGGAACGTTGCATTGATATGAATGTCAGAAGGTCTTGAATACTGTGTGGCCTTTTCAAACTGTATGTGATAAAGTTTTCCATTGTACATGAAGGTCAGGAGACTAAAAAAACACACAGAACTTGGAAATTAGCACTGGACTATTATGTTACGATTCAGGACAGCGCCCTGTCCTATTTTAACTCAAGACAAACGTGATAATGATAAAGAGGAAAGAAAAGGGCAAACCTGGCCTGTATTTTCTGATAACGTTGCAGAACAGGGAACTGAAGGAAACCATGGCATGAGCTTCTTTGTACTGCTAGGTTTCTGATGGACTTGCATTATAGGAGTTAAGGGATAAATGGATGCATACAGATCAACAGCTTGAAGTGTTCTACGAGTGGTTTGGCAGGTTTGTACCTGTCATGCTGTGTATTTAATTCTGTAGGAAACTTTGTATGTCGTCAGAATAACTTCCATGCACGTAAGATACGAACTGAGGTGTGTTAAAGGGCTCTGTTCCAAAATTGTTTTCCTCCACCAGCTGGCAGGGTGCCTGCATTTCTTACCTTAGCTTCTACTTTTGTATTCAGTCATTGAAGTTCTTTTGCAAAATGCAGGTGTCCTCACCCTTCATCTGCACCCAACTCAAATGAGTGTCTCAGACCAGCTGGCCAGTCCCAGCAGGAGTGTGAGGAAATGGAAAGCTGGAGCAGGTACATTTTGCTTTGGTGTAAATGAGGAGGTCAGGAGGATCTGGAAACACACACTGATGGGTTGGGGACAGAGGCAGGTATATACCTTGGAAACCCTGGCCTGCCAAAGGAGGCTCCAGGAGCCTGGTGGCAGCTTGTATAGAAAGGCAGTAGGGTGACATGAAGATAAAGTTCACAACGTTGTGTTGCCTTTCCTGAGAAAAATGCTGTGCATCACATTTTAGAGAATGCAGTCACGCGTGAGATGGCTGCTTAAGGAGGGCTCTTGTGTAAAACAAAAGTGGTGGCCGGAGCTGGAGCCAGTTACAAGTGTCCTGGAAGAGCAAAGCCAAAGACAGGTCGCTACCAAAATAGCTCTCTGGGGTGAGGGTGGCAGTGGTTGGAGTTCGGGGGATGTGTGCAGAGGGCAAGAAAGCATTTAAGAGAACAGAAGTGAAAATTGTCCAGTTTCTCTTAAAGAGAGCTCTCCAAATGCCTCTGTTCATGAGCCGTGTGGGATACGTTTGTTCGTTGTTGGGCAGTGTGTCAGAGTCTCCCGGAGGACGTTCCGTTCCAGACCTGCCCAGCCCCAGGTCAGTCTGACTGACTCAGACTCCAGGGTGCGGCCCAGGAGGTGCAGCTGAGGGGCGAGGTCTAGAAGATTCTGCCCTGCACCCTGGTTACAGAGCCCTGCTGTGGTACGCACACTTGGGCATGTTCTTTGCCCTCTGTGGTTTGGGCTCTCCTCCTTTTAGGATATTAATTTTAGTAAGTGAAGTTTCTCCAGTTTCCCACCACTCCTGGCCACAGATCGACATCTGAATGAGGAAGACACTTTCTCCAGCTGCACACCTTCCTCCCTTCCCCGTCACAGAACTGCGTTCTGGATTATCTCACTGTTCATGCAGGAGCAGCCACCAGGGAACAGAGCTTGTGAAAAACTCTTAGGACCCCCTGAACCTAACCCGAGCGCCCACCCACATTGGTCAGAAGATCCCAAGTGCCCTGGGGATGTCAGCCTCCAGACCAGCCTCTGGGTCACCTGTTGGGCGTTGTGGGGTTCTGGCCAGGTGCCTCCTCTGTTCCTGGGGATGCTGTAGCTAAGGGCCCAGCTCTCGGCACAGGGGACCAGGATGGTGGCAGCGTATTCGTTACCAGGACCCGAGAGGAATTCTGTGACCCTGGAGCACTTCCACCTGGACCCCTCCCAGCGCAAATCCTAAGGGAGACCCCTTATTTCCCAGAAGTTTAAGGACCGTGTCCTCTGCACCTCTCCCATCACCTGGAACTTCTGGAAGAGTCGGGGATGGGGGGGGAGTTTTTTTGCCATTAGAAATTGTGTTGTCACCAGAAACGAGGCTCCCATGCTAGAGTGGCTGCCACGTCTCATGTGTGACATTCAGCAGTGGCTCTCAGTTACTGCATGAGTTTCATAATGCTGACGACGGAACACAGGCATGTTGGTTATGTTAGACCTGCTGGTTATGTTTTAGGTTGGGACCTGGCCTGTTAGTTTGGTGGGGGTGAATCTCAGTACTGAGTAAAACAGAATTTGATTTGAAAATTTCACTTCTTATTAGTGACATGTCTTCATTTGCTCACCAGAAAAAATTGTGACTATGATATTGTTACCTTGGAGAATTAAATACAACTTACCGCGAAAATCTGAGTGCTAGAAAAATGAGATAATGGGCAGCTGAAGGGCAGGTAGCGTCTTTAAATGTTTAAAAAAGTTTGTTGGAGCCTTCTTTAAAATACCCACTTTTTTCTTTTTTTTTAACA